CTCTTCCAGTTGTTTTTAAAATCTGGCTTGGATTTTATTTTGGAGATAGGGATCACAACAGTGCAGCCGCTGGAAAATATTCCCATCTTGTTTATACTAGAATAAATCCAGGAGTATTTAATTGATTCAAATCTGTGTAACTAAGATAAAAATCTCTTTCCCTGCATGTACTGGATGGATTCTTAATCTGCTCTGCTGAAGGTTCCCAATGTGTTTCATCACTTGGAGCCAGATGTTAACATTCATACCCATGTTGATTAGTACCCGAGATCGGATTGAAAAGGGGGGAATATATAGCTCCCTTTCAAAATGCTTTCAGATCTAGGGATGAAAGATGCTCCTCTGAGTGGCTAATTCCATGCAGTCTCACTCATAGCTAAAATTGGTCTAAAAAATGGCTTAAAAAGGTGGCAATTTCCAGTACCACTGCTACTTACCTCAGTCACCATAGTTAGTCCCAGAAGATAGCTAAGGAAACATACTATAGCGATGAAGATTTCCCGTCGGTAACCCTTCCTTAGGAAGGATGGGTGCAGATCAACTAATGACGTGATCTGTCCTTCAACTTCAACAAACTAAAGCGGAAAAACAACAACAAAAAAAGGACTTGAAAATTACCCACCATGCATTTTATCCAGGCTCATACTTGAACAAAGGCTCCACAGCAACACCCTGACTGTAGTCTGTGGCAAAATACTGCTCTGAATAAATAAATTGGAAGCCATTCCTTTGTAACCCAGGGGCTGAAGTGTGGGGGTAGTTTTCAGGTTGGAACAAGCTTTCAGAATTGCCGTTCATTTCCTAGCAGCCTTATGAACTACCAAAGGGGCTCTGTAAATGCAAGCCGCAAGGATAAAGGAACTAATTTGATGACAGGAAGGCACTTATGTGGCTTTTATGTTGTAGCTGTTCCAGATGAATACAAGATGTATGCTAAAAAAGAGGCAGAGAGAGAAAACACTAGCCTAAGCTAGGAGAGTACCTCCCAACCTTTTTTTGATGTGCCAGAAAACCTCACGGATACTAGTTAGGTTAATTCCACAATTGGATATAATTCTACTTTTGGGTCTGCCAGTGAAAATCCAGCCAAGGGAAAGCAGACTTTGATGTGAAATAGCAGCACTCCTTGACTGAACTTGTCTTTTCCGAACTGTGAGCAGAGTACCTCTGACTGAGGCTCTGAGGTACTTCTGCAGCAATAATGGAGCTGTTGATACAGTCCCCATACAAAGATTCGGTAAACTGTTTGCATGTGTAAACCAAAAACGAAGCTCTGAATAGAAGAGCTAAAAATCTTACTTTATCTAGCTTCATAACTGTATTTGTACTTACTTGCCATGGAAAAACTACATACAAGATATGTAACTTGAGCTAACCAAATAACCCAAACTGGATTTGAATAGAAGTTTAAAGTTAATCAAAAACCGGATGCATTTCACCCACGGAGAAAAGCAACTACTGAACTGCACCCAAACAAATCCAAAGAAGGGCTCATTCAGCTGATCTGTGCTTTCAGCCTGGCAAAGTACAAAAGCGCAAAGATCACCGAAGACATGAGGATACCGTGGAGAACCAAGGCTGCCTCTGTAGAAAAGATCTTCACTTTAAGTGGATACATCATCTTGTAAACTAATGAGTTATCACAGGGAGTCTATGAAATAGCATTATTTCAGTAAAAGCTACCTTTTCCTATGCAGTATACATATTGCTCTTACAGTGCCCAGAAGTGCCCTACAACAACTCTACCCTCTTTGACCATGAGCTGAAGCTCCATTTTGGAAATACAGACCGTCCTGCAAACAGTCAACCAGATTTTGTTGCCTCCTGTCTTGTTACTTTGACTGCGGTAAAACTGGTTTTCTTCTTAAATGCAGCCCTTTCCTTTGGGCTGATTTGATCTTAAACTGCTCCAGCATTCCAGAAACCTACTTGACTGCACTCCAAAAAACCAGAAGGGTGGAGGAGAGAAATTAAGCGCTCCAATTAGTTTTAATCATTCTACACAGTGAGGAGCTTTTTAAAATTACTAGACAGCTTCCAATTTGCATAAGCACAGGGCTGTTGAACCATGGCATTGGGCACTTTTACATTTGCTTTGGAATGATTGAAAGTTGCTCACTAGAGTTCAAAGATTAAGCCGTAAAGAGCAATTTAGGGCAAATGGAATATAAAAAATGTAAGAGATTAAGTACACAACAACTGGGTAAAAATCCATTTACAGATCTCTCCTCATAGAAGAGAGCATTTAGGCTAAGTGAACGTTTCATCCTTACCAATTGGGTTTTATAATCTTATTGACTTTCCATTTGAGTGCAGAAAGCTGCCTGCTGCTGTGAAAACTTTGGCAATTTTGAATGTGTACATACTGCATAATCCCTGGTCACCCATGTTTCCTTGTAAGTGGACTATCTAGAAATGATTTATAGGTTCTTTGGCAGTATTTAGTCCAACATTCCTATAAGCAACCTCTGGGAAAAATAACCTAACTTCTTGGACTGAACTTTTTCATTTTTTCATGCTCACTAATTAATAGCAGTGTGTGCTATAAAATTAGTACAGCTGGAACCCGAGACGCTTTTTGGCCTGTTTGGAGGAACTGAATGTGCACTGGTGACGTGAAAGTCAGCAGAATCCCAAGCTGCTCAGCAGTTCCAAGCCTAAGGCCACCGAAAAAGGCTGTGGCTTTGTCCTCTGACTGTTTATGAAGCCACCCTGGATACATTGTACAAAACATTTTGTGCTTTTTGTGCCTCACAATGGCTTCACTTTTCTTTTTTGGCACTTGGCAACTATCAAAGCCTGTATTCCTAGTAGGTACTAATTCTTACAAAGTGTTTTAATGATGGTGTATACACACTGCAGGTGATCGCAATGGCACAAAGTACTCTGTGGAAGAGACTGCTGTAGTCTTTTACGTTTTAAAATGATTAAGCTCTTCTCCAAAGTAGGAAAATACTGCACCATGACCAAAACGGTGGTATTCTGTGGCCACACTGGGACTGATATTTAGGTTAGGGAGTACTGCCCTATTCTTGTGGACTCCATTAACTCCTGATGACAAAGACTTACTGAGCAACATCATACTGACTGTCAACCAAGAGATTCATCAAACTGACTGTCAACCAAGAGATTCATCAAACGCAGCCCCTGCACTAAAAAGCAACCCGGATGAATTCCTCTTAAGCAGCATTAGAGGTACTGTCTTCTTAACTCATGCCTGTAAAACCAGCTTTTCTCAGCCAGCAGCACTGAGACAATAAGCCACACCTCTCTTACCCATGGTACTAACCTGGCTATCCAGTCCAAGCAACAGAAGCATAATAAAAAAAAGGATTGCCCAAAAGGTGGGCAGTGGCATCATGGACACAGCTTTTGGGTAGGCAATGAAGGCCAGGCCTGGACCTAGAGAAAGAGAAAATAGGAAAGGGGGAAGGGAAGGGAAGAGAAATAGTAAGTACCAGCTTTTTGGTAAAGGTAGCCACACTCAAATGCAGGAAT